TGCGTGTTTGTGTATGTGTATATGTGTATGTGTGTATGTGTATGTGTATGTGTATGTGTGTATGTGTATGTTTGTTGAACAACAATATCAGGAACAACTGTAATAAAACTGATAACAATGATGATAATCATTATAACAATGACTATAAAGATATTGTTTATGGTATTATAGATAATAATAATAATAATAATAATATAACAATAATAATAGCAGCAGCAACACTAATAACAATGACAATAATGATGACAAAAGTAATATGATCGTCACTAAGGGCGGATTTGCTCCATTTCTGCTTCTTTTGTTTCTTCTTCGGACCTAAATAGGGGGAAAAATCTGAATTATTCTCTTGTCTTCTTATTCAATATTCAGCTACATACATTCCTTCGTTAATTATGAAACTGTCGTTTTTAAAAAGAAAATGACAAAAAATGTATCAATAACCGTTTAAAATTATTCGTGAAAGTTATTCAATTATAAAAAGCTTGAAAAAAAACATCCTAGCATTAAAGAATGCAGGAAGACATGCGTCGACACTTCAGATGTCATGTGAAGGGCGTGAGTGACATCAGCGAGATGAGTCACCTAGCTTGACCTCATCTGAGAAGCAGGAGTTATGAGATGCTTCTGTGAGAGAAAGGGAGTCTTGTTTTTTTTCCTCAAAAAATGAAGGTTGTTATCTATCTCCTCCAGCTCCCACAACTTCACCTTAACCCCTTTCTCCCCCTTCTTATCTTCTTCCTCCTCCTCCTCCACTTCCCTCTCACGTCTCCTTTCCGCCACCTCCTCCTCACCCCTCTACCTCCCCCTCCCAACGCCTCACATGGTAAGAGTATATGCTAACTGAGAGCTAAGACGTCCTAAGCCCAACCTCCACTTCCATCTTACCCTGCCTTTCACTCCCACTTTCAACCGTCCCTCAACTCCCCCTCCAACCTTACTCCCACTCTTATCCTCGTGCTTTCAATCCCGTTCCCTTCAACCCCCCACTCAGACCCCTTCTCCCTATCCAATCTCCCATTCAGACCTCTTCTCCCCCTCCCACTCAGACCCATTCTCCCTCCAACCTCCCACTCACACCCGTTCTCCCTCTAACCCCGCGCTCAGACTCCTCCTCCCCCACTCAACCCTTCTCCTCCAACCCCACTCAAACCCTTCTCCCTCCCATTCAGACCCCTCCCCTCAGACCTTCTTCCTCCAACCTCCCTCAGACCCCCCCTCCAACCTACCACTCAGGCCCTTCTCCCCCCTCCAACCTCCCACACATGCCACTCCAATCTCACCTGGCGACAGCATATTCTTCGGAATCCTCAAGGTCCTTCACTGTGTCCGGCAGGGGATGCTTATGGGTGTCGTGCAGGGGAAGGGTTGCCACGCCTGCCAGAAGGGCCGCCACCCCGAACACCACCGAGGGAATCCAGGGGTAGTGAGGTCCCTAGGATGCATTAGTTTCAGTTAATGTCCTTAGCAAGATTTAGCCACCGATGGCTAATATGGAAGTTCTACTGATAACCCGGGACTAAAATTTTCTGAGTATTAAAAAAATTTAGCCAAGGAATTAATTAAGGATAAGGATAGGCCAAGTAGGCGAAGCTGAATCTCACCCGGGTTGTGCCTATGAAAGAGCCCGGCCTGTGTTTAACTAATCCCAACACGACGGAGCTGAGGCCTTACCCATTGCTGTGCTCAGCGACAGTACTAACCAGCTGATTACAATCGCGTGATCCGCCGACCCTCGGATGAGAAGCCGACACGGTACCAGTGTACAATCCCCTGATAGTTTATATTAGTTTTACTGATGACTAAGGGTGATATTCCTTTTTTATTGCAAAAATTTGAATTAATGATTTACTTGGCCCCAGGGAGTAATATAGAAGGTTTACTGATGACTCGGGTCTTAATTATTTAATTCAGTATTCTTATTGTTTAATTATTACGTGTTACTGATAATTTGGGTTTTAAACATAACTTATCATTATTGTTTGATTATCGAGTCACTGATAATTGGGGTTTGGTATTATTGGAAATGCAACCAACACCTAATTCAAAGAATCTGAGCTTTCCATGTAATAAAATCCGTCTATGGAAGTTTTCTTCTATACCATTTTCTGCGCAAATTGATAATAACGGTGTTACAGAGGGTATATAATCCACGATTTCCAGGAGCCGCAGTAATCTTCGCCTCCAGCGCCGGGACAAAATAAAAAAGTCGTTAATAGCGACGGGAAATCGGACGGATTTGTAGCGGACGACATATACGAGGGAAATCAAATGAGCCAATTAGATTCGTGCGTGAACGGGACGTGAACACAATAGAACCAATCAGATATGGAATAGATCATCACGTGACAATAGAAGCTGGCCCTAGGAGAAGCCTTTTTGAAATTCAAATAACTTCCATCATGGCTAGACAGTGTGAGAACAATTATTTCGATTTTATTGCAAAATATCAACAAAATAACGAAGCAAGCTTATTAAATCTACGAGATCACTGTGTACTGCCAGTAGAAGTACAATGCCCGCACTGTAAGACATCGTGTCATTACAGAAATGGCAGACACCAGTGGATTTGTAGTGCATGGAAAAGGGCCCAAAAAACAAGACGAAGAAATCAGTGTATCTTTACTGTAAGCAATCGCAATTCCCGTCAACAATGCGATGGAATACCCGACGATCCCCGTGACCCGCAGCCTGGCCCGTCTGGAGTTTAAGGCTGAAGGTAAGATGTGGTTCAAACTGTTCCTGGGTCTGGGCTCTCTCCTATGAGGTGAACATATGAGGTGAAGATTTTGCAGACCAGGCGGGAGTGGGGGGCGAAGCCCCCTATATCTACTGAAAACGTATCGCATACCTGGTTTGCCCTGGCTCTATCCTGCAGGAACATACGGTGAAGATTTGGTAGACCAGGCGGGGGGTGGGGGGCGGTACCCCCTCTCCTGAAAGAGGCGGAGCCTCCTCTACAACCCGGAAATGTGTTACTATACTAGGCTAGTATTCTACCGATAGCTCTCGAAAATTCCCTAATTTGTAGGGTTATCTTACCCTCCCCAGCTATCGTAGTTATGCTTCGTTTGCGAAGGAAATGAATTCTAGATTCGTCGAAACACGACGAAAGCTACTGGAAAATTATTCTATTCACCCTAAAAATGGTGTGGGGTTGCATTTCCATGTTTTCCTGGGGTTTCAACTGACTTTTATGTTTCTCCTTTGGTTATTAGGCCTTGATAATTGCGGCTTTCACTATTTATCATTCTTCTCATCAAATGATCAAGTCTTATTAATAATTGGGTTTTTAGTATAATTCTAATCGTGATTTAGTATATTTTGTTGTTAAAAAAATGTTGATCATTCTGACCTTTCGGTTTGTAGTAATTAATGATCCTCATTATTGGATATGAGTTTTTTATGCAATATTATTAATCATTTAGTTTTTTGCCCTTATTCCGTTGATTATTTGAGTACCACACAAACACACACCAACAACCCAGACCAGATCCCGCTGTTTACTCTTTCTCTCTCATTTTGCTTTCTGTCTGCCAGTCTCTGTCTCTGTCTCTGTCTCTCTCTCTCTCTCTCTCTCTCTCTCTCCTTCTCTCTCTCTCTCTCTCTCTCTCTCTCTCTCTCTCTCTCTCTCTCTCTCTCTCTCTCTCTCTCTCTCTCTCTCTCCTTCTCTCTCTCTCTCCTTCTCTCTCTCTCCTCTCTCTCTCTCCTACTCTCTCTCTCCTTCTCTCTCTCCCGTCCCCATCCCTCCCTCATCCCACTCACCAGCAAATCCGTCACGAAGGGCGAAGCCATGGACGCTATCCTGGAGGCGATGGTCGACGTTCCTAGAGCCAAGAGCCGCACCTCCGTCGGGAAGAGCTCCGTGGCGTAGAGATAGAGCACTTGGTATCCCGCGCTGATGCTGAACTTGCCGATCATGGCTAGGCTGATGACGAGCCAGCTGATGTCTGCGGAATGGTTGGGTTGGGCTTATTTTTATTTATTCATTTAGTTTTTTTTTTTTTATCTTATGATTAATTTGCTTATTTCTTATACTACAAACTTCACTTCTCCACCCACCTCCCTCTCCCCCTTTTGTCTCCCTTCTCCATCCCCTTCCCCTCCTTCACTCAACACTCCTTTCCCCGCTCCTCCGGGCTCATCCTACCCTTCCTTCCTTCTGCGCTCTTACCCCCTTCTTTCCCTTCCCTCCCCTCCTCCACTCTTCCATCTTTTCTCCTCCTCTTTCTCCGCTTCTCCCCCAAATCCTTCACTTTCACTTTCCCCTCTTCCTCCTTCTCTTCCCTCCCTCGTCCCCTTCCCCTCTCCCCTTCTCCCCCACGTACTCTGCCCCCCCCTCCTCGCCCCCTTCCCTACCCGCGGGGACGACGGCGAGGGCGAGGATCGAGGCGCCGGCGACGAAGTAGAAGGCGGCTGAGGGTATCCTGCGGCCCCAGTACTCGACGATGGGCACCGTCAGCGTGTAGGCGGGGATCTCCATCACGCCCCCGAGGGCCATGTACAGGAAGGGGTTCACGCTGAAGTTGACGGCGTTGAGCGAGATGCCGTAGAACACCATCGACACCATGAAGAACTTGGTGTACACCAGGAGACTGATCTTGCGCAGCTTCGGGGTCCTTCGGGAGAGAAATGAACTCGATAGGTCTTGTGAGATTTCGTTCTCCTTTCGTCCTTTCTTTCCTTATTCTTCCTTCCTTTCTTTTTAGTTTTTACTTACTCATTTTTTCTGTGTGTGTGTCCTTTTTTTTCGGAATGAGATATATCAACAGGAAATCAATGATAAAAGAACGGCCAATGCATCATGGTAGAGGGAATGCACCCGCGTCTTCCCTCCCAAACGTCCCTAATGGTAGCAGACTAAGAATAGCAATCATCATCCACAGGAAATACACGGACTATCCCACGCACCTGAGGAGGATGAATACACTGAGAAACTTCTTCCAAGATGCTGCGAGATAGCCCTGAAAACCACTGCCGTTGTGGTCTTCCTCTTCCTTCGCCAGGGTGGACTGAAATAAATCGTTTTTCATTTTTCTTGACTGCCAGCGAATTTAGTGAGATTGGCGCCTGGCACAATTTTACGACAAGAACAATGTCTGTGATGATAACAGTAGGAAGTAGTGACGTGTGATGGTGATGATGATAAGGTAACTGATGGTGATTATACCTGTGTTGCTAGTAACGATATTATTAGTAATGGTGATGACATTAATGGATTATCATTATTCACAAAAATTTCTGATAACCTTATTTTTTTAACGTCAATTCCTCTCACGCTGTCTCTCTCTTTTCCCTCCCTCCCTCCCTTCTTCCCTCCCCACTCTCCCTATTTACCCATCTCCCCCTGTTCTTTATCGCTCCCACCTTCTCTTCTCCATCTCTCCTTCCTTCTCTATTATTCCCTCCTCCTCTTCGCCATCTCTCCCTCCTTCTTTATCACTCCCTCCTCCATTTCTTGATCATTCCCTCTCCAACTCTCCCCCCCCCCCAACTCTCACCTCCTTCTGAATGTTCTTCATCAACGCATCAAGTTCTTCAGGAGGTGGAAGGTCCATCTTGTTCCACCTGGCAGCCCTCTCCAGTACCTCCCTCGCTCGCCTGTGATCGCCCCTGACGATCAGCCAGCGGGGGGACTCGTCCAAGAACCTAGAGGAAATAGATGGGGGATTATGAAATGAGGAACTGACGTGACACTGTGGGGTGAAATGCCGGGAGTGGGAGGGCGGAGGTGAGGTGGAATGAATGCATGTGAGTGAATTCTTTGCAAAGGGTTGATTGCTCTTAGGCGCCACTTTGGCAATCGTTCTGGTGTTCTGGTTTGTATTTTTTACACAAAAAATGAATGGTATTTATTTGAGGTGAAGATGCAAATATGCGTGGTATTCAATTCCACCGGTCGATCACAGAAAAGGCGTAGGGAGGTTTTTCACTGGTATCTTATCTTTAAATTCGCAACACCTAGATTCGGTCTACATTTCCTATTTCCCGATCAGTCACCCAATCAACAGGCGCAAACACCGGAGAGGGTGCACCGACGCATACACCCTTCGCTTCCAACCACGAGGGTCCCTCTCACAAGCCACAAGATAGGAATCCAGCCCCCTTCTTGATTTCCACGCAGTTCATCTGGTTGACTGATTTAATCAACATTTCAGAGGCCATCCTATAGACATTCTTCATCCAGAAGTATTTGGAAGAAACAGTATGACGGACAGGATTATCCTCAGGGAGTTTGCCCAACAGTTAGAGTTTACAATTACAACCCGAAACCCTGGAGAATCTGTGGAGGAATTTCCAGAGGGCGTTGGAAAAGGACGTGGCCAATCTCCTCAGTTACTTTGCTTGCGGCACCACGAGGACGGGCAGCGTGAGTCAGCGAGCCAGCAATTCTTCTTCCGCATTTAACAGGAGCGTGCACGGTATTATGAGTCATGAAGATGCGAGTCATTTTCAATCCTTTTAGAGCTACCTCTGCCACTGTTTTATGCTTTGTAGCTCATTTGCTTTCCCAGCATGCTTCGGAGTTTGTATGAGTAAATAAAAATGAAGAGAAATGGCCAATGACTTATCAAGAGATGTGTACTTGGGAGAGATCATAGTTCCATACGCAGTTCCTAGTGGACAGCTTTGGTTTATCTCAACACTCGTTTACCTTGATCTGTTACTAGGAGAGGGCGCTTTCAGTGATTTACGGACATGTGCACAAATTAATGCATATCGGTCTGACAGATATACATTTATCTATCTATCCGGTAGATATGCATGTCCAGACTGACAGATATTTATTTCTGCGTATGGTTTTGTCCGTATATATGGATATTCACTGGATCGGGCCTCGCACAATCAGACACCGCATAAACTCGGGTCTTCTGTGACTCACGGCTTTCCGAAGGGGACGAAGAACACCCACGTTGTGCCCCTCCCTGAGAGCTCGTCTTCTGAGTCACGCTTGTAGGAGAGGGGGCCAGGGACGAGGAGGAAGGATTTTTCAAAGGGGACTCTGAGAAGCGCTGCCACGGAGGAGTCAGGTAAGAAGGACCAGGGCCTGCTTTGGAGGGGACTAACAAGTACATCACAAACAAACGCAAAAACAAACTCACACTCGGACAAACACAAAGACCCAAGCAAGCACACAACCACTACACAGTAAGATACACACGCAAATAGACACAGACACACGCAGACATACTCTAACAAACAATAAGACACAGAAACACAAAGACACACACAAAGAAACACAGACACAAACAAACAAACACCCCCCACCCCACCCCACATACCCTCCCACAAAATCAAACAAACACAAATCCTCTCCACCCACCCCCCTCAACTTCCACCCCTACGCCCACCACCCGCCCGCCCATCCCAGAAACTACCCACCACAGGACGGGCAGAAGCAGCAGGCAGGGGAGGGACACGGCCAGCTGCAGCCAGCGCCAGTCTCGGATGAGGAACGCCCATCCGCCCCAGGCCACCGTCGCCAGCGCCCACGGCAGCCCC